TAATAAGAGGTGACACAATGGAATGCAGAAATCATTGAACAATATCATTAATATCACACGCAAGTAGAATTTTGCTAAAGATAATTAAAAACTGGTTGCAACAGTACATCGACAGGGAACTTCCAGAATTCAGAAGAAAACATGGAACTAGGGATATCATCATTGACATCAGATGGATCCTGGCTGAAAGCAGAGAATACCAGAAAGATACTTCCTTGTGCTTTGTGGACTGTGTGAAGGCTTCTTTGATAATGTGAATCATAACAAACTATGGATAGCATTCCAAAGTATAGGCATTCCAGAACATTTAATTGTGCTCATGTGGAACCTGTACATAGACTAAGAGGATACCAAATGGTTTAACATCAAGAAAAAGTGTGCACAAGGATTGTATTCTTTCACCAGATTGTATTCTTTCACAATCTATATACTGAGCAGATATTCTGAGAAGCTGGATTGTTTGAAAAAATTTATGGCATCAGGATTAGATGAAAACTCTAACAATCTGTGATAGGTAGATGATATAACCTTACTTTCTGGAATCAAAGAGGACTTAAATACTTACTGATGAATATCAAAGACAACAGCAGGATGTCAAACTGATGATCTGCTCTGTAAACCTTCACTCAATTCACAATAAAAATTTTAAAAAGAAAAAGATTACAGCCTTCAGTATGGATTGCACCTTGTTGTAAAGAAAACAAAAATTCCCCACAGCTGTACCAATAAATAGCATCATGATAAATGGAGAAGACATCGACATTGTCAAAGACTACATTTTGCTTGGATCCACAACCAATACCTGTAGCAAGAAATCAAACAATGTACTGCATTAGGCAAATTTGCTGCAAAAACCTCTTTAAAGTGTTCAAGAACAAAGACGTGAATTTGAAGACTAAGGTGCATCTGACCCAAGTCATGATGGTTTCAGTTGCCTCATATGCATATGAAAGTTGGACAATGAATAAAGGTTAGATGCATTTGAATTATGGTGTTGGAGAAGAATATTGAAAGTACCATGGACTATTAAGAATATGACTGGGAATCAGGACCAACAAGCTACATCTCAGGATCAGGATCTGGAAAGCTCCCCAAAGTGGAGAGCAATCTCTCACTTCTCACTTCTTCAGTACTGAGTAGCTCTCTCAGCTCTTCTTGGCCATTCATGCAAGCAAGCACTCCCTTCTTTCTCCTGTGCTTGCCCCCCTCAGCCTCCTGAGGACAGGCCTCTCTGCCTCATGTCACTGTGCTGCTGGACCCCTCTGGGCCTGTCCCCACTGGCGGTACTCTTGGTTCTCTCCAGGACTGTTGCCATCTTCAATATTACAACCCTTGACCCATGTTACAGCTCTTTTAGTAGATTCCTTGTCTCCTTTCCTTCTGCTGTTTCTCTCTTCTCGCTAGCTTTGTCTTCTTTCTGTGTCTACCTGCTTCCTTTCTTGGCTTTTTGCGTTCCAAACAAGTGGTTTGCCATTGAATGCATCCAGGCAGCAAAAATCTGTGCCCATGAGAAAAAGCTCCCTTCTAGGACTGAAAGTTACAGCGAGCCTATTGCTGCCAGCCTAGCCCCACTCCCCCGCCTCACCCCCCACAGCCCAGCCCCACCAGAAGCAAGAAGATTATGCTGTGACAGAGCACAGACAGGCTGAAATCTCAGCCCCTACTCCCCCTGGCATGTACTCTGAAGAGAAGCCTCCATTCTCTGAACCTCCACTTGCTCCTCTGTTAAACTCAGCATCAGCCAAATGCTGAATCCTATGCGTAGTGGTTACGAATCAGGTCAGCAGTACGAAATTACCAGCTGTTCTGCGGGAGAAAGATGAGGCTTTCTGCTCCTGTAAAGATTTACAGTCTTGGAAACCCTGTACAGGGTCGCTATGAGTCGGAACCGACTCCACGGCACACAGCCACCACCACCATGGAGCTGAGGTCAGACATGCCTCCACCCTTGTTTACCAAATCTGACAACAACTGTCCCTTCCACAGTACTTTGTACTGCTCAGGTAGGTCCGTCATTCATTGCAGTGGCCACACAGAACACAGACACCAGACTCACAGCTATAGAGTTTATCGGGACTCAGGGCACATTCTTTCAGTCAGGATAGGGTCTTCCCAGCTGTGTCCTCAGGCAGACATCTCTCTGATTCTTGGCCTCTCATTGGGCCTTTTGGCATAGGCTCTGTTTGGGGCACTGCTAATAAATGCCCAAAGGACACTCCATTCCACTATAAACCTCAGCCTGAAGACACTCAGATATAGCTTAGTGGGCAGCAAATTTAGCTCCCCAGTTAAGATGCCTGGAAGCATCCTACTCCACAGTTGAGCCTCTTGCCCAAAGACACTAGCTCCATGGGCTAGGAAGTCCACCACTCTGCCTGCTGCTCTGGTGCTTGGTTCTGCTACTGCTGCTCCTCTGCTAACCATTCAGTATCACAGCTGTCTGTCCTTGAGTTCAAGGGAGTCACTGTGTAGGGATCTTAGAGTCCAAAGAACATGCTCCACTCCTAACTCTTCTTCTTTGGTGTACTGAGACCCCCAGCCCACTTCCTGCTTCAGAGATGGCTCATTTTATACCTACATTAAAATTCCAAGTTTCTACAATCACAGTTATCACAACTGAATCACATAATCCTGTCAGCGTCTTTCTCTACCTTCTCTCACCCAGATCTATCAGGGAGACCCAAACCCAAAAGTTGTTTAGTGGGACTTACAAAGACAATGGGTAGAAGAGCCATCTGAAGTAATCCACTGCATTGCAAGTACCCTTTGGGCATTTATCAGCAGCCCTAAAAGAGCTTTGTAACATTGCCCTGAGCAGGGCTGAGGCCAAGCATGGCAGAGAAGAGGCTGTCCTGATCAAAATATTGTATACTGAACATTTCTGGGCCTGAACTGTTAACCTGACAACTTCCCTAGTAAACTCCATAGTTGTGACTATGGTCTGTCAGTTCTGTGTAGCCATGGCAATGAATGGTTGAACCCAGTAGAAAGGTAGAACATACTGTGAGAGGGACAGCTGATATCAGAATTGGTAGAGAAGGGTGGAGGGTGGAGGCATGTCTGACCCCAACCTTATAGGAATCAGCCAGGGATGAATGAGTTCAATTCTCCTTCCCCTTGTGTAGTCAGAGGAGGCCAGAAGTCGCTCCCCACTCTTCTTCCAGTGGCATTATTCTTTTTTTCCAATTTTTAAATTTTGAATTGGGTGAAGGTTTACAGAGCAAATCATCAGTTTGACATTCAACATATCATACGTTGCTTCATTACATGATTGCAATCCTGTCCATGTACCAACAGTTAACAAACAGCATTTGCCTCTATTCACCTCAACTGTTGCATTCCTCCCTGTGTCTCCTGCTACCTTCATCTTTCTTCTGCTAACCTCCCTCTAGTATATTGTCTGCCCTGTCACCCATGTTAACATGTGTTAACATGTTAACTAGCCTGTGAATAATTTTCCCTTTCCCACCCCCGTAACCATCATAAAAAGTTTCTTTTATCAAGAAAACCTTTTTTTTTTTAACTGATTAACTGATTTCTGTCAGACTCCTTTAGGAGTCCTGGTGTGGCGCTGTGGGTTAATGCGCCAGACTGCAAAGCCATTTGAACTGCAAGGTAGGTAGTTCAAGTTCACCAGCTGCTTCTTGGGAACCCTATACAGGGTCGCTATGGGTCAGAACCGACTCAATGGCATGTCACAACAACAACAGTGTCCTTCAGGTTCATCCATGTTGTGCGATGTTTCACAGATTCATCACTATTCTTAAATGTTTTGTAGTATCCTGTTGTAAGCACCACCAAAGTTTGTTTAACTATACTGTTGATGGACATTTAGGCTGTCTCCATCTTTGTGATATATTTCCTGTAGAGAGCATATTAAAGGATCCTGTTTTCTTATCCATTCTGGTCTTCATGTCTCTTGACCAGCCCATTTAATCCATTTGCATTCCATGTAATTATCAATAGGTATGAACTGATTGCTGTCATTTTTCTGTGTGTGTGTGTGTGTTTTTGTGGTGTGGCTGGATTCCTTGTTCCATATAATTTTCTATGCTGAGTTCTTTTTGTTTGTGGGCTTTCTTTTCATTTCTGTTGTGTTAATGTTTACTAAATTCTTCTACTTTTCCTCTTTAAATTTTGATGTGCAGGTATATAATTTTTCTTTGAGCTTACCCTGTAATTTATTAATTTTCCCTCTACGTCAAACAGTTTTATCTTGAAATCGACTTGACTTCCTCACCATTTGGAAGTTCTGTATCTACACCCTTCACTCTTTTTCCAGCTATGACATTTCTACATATACACACAATGGAATATTATTCCGCTCTTTACGAATCGGGCTATGAACCTTAAGGTCAGCAGTTCAAAACTACCAGTTGTTCCGTGGGAGAAAGATGAGGCTTTCTACTCCCTGTAAAGATTTACAGCCTCCGAAACCCTGTACTAGGGTCACTATGAGTCTAAACTGACTCCACAGCACATAATAACAACGAATAGAAATAGGAGTCCTGGGGTGGCACTGTGGGTTAATGCGCTGGACCTCAGGGTCCATTTGATCCGCAAGGTCGGCAGTTCAAGCTCACCAGCTGCTCCTTGGAAACCCTGTACAGGGACGCTGTGGGTTGGAACCGACTCGACGGCACTTAACAACAAAACAGAAATAAAGTTCTGATGAATATGGAAAACACTCTGAGAGAAACAAGTTAGTCATGGAGGGCCACATGTTGTGTGATTCCTTTTATAGTCAAAAGCAAATACATATAGAAAGAAAGCAGATTAGACAGAATACAAAAAAGTAAGGGAAGGGGAGGTTGGGGAGCAATCAATTAATGGGTATGAAGTGTTTTCAGGGGCAATGAAAACATTTTGAAATTAGATAGAGATGATACTTGTACAACATTGTAAATGCACTAAATGGCACCATATTGTGTGCTCTAAAGTGGTGAACTGTATGCTATGTGACTTTTAAGCACATACATGCCCCGGCTGTGTTTTCATAGACAGATGCTCAGGAGGTGGCTTCGGTGGTAAGCGCCCGGGAGATCCAGGCTGTGGCGGAGCTGCTGCAGATCTCCCCCGAGGGCCTGCAGAAGGCCATCACCTTCAAAGTGACCGTGAGTCTGCAGGTTCTTGGGCTGCTAACAGAGCTTCCTTGTTGGGGCCTAGACAGCAAGCCTGCTGTCTCCTGTGGGCCGCCTTTTCCACCCACCCACCTTTCTGTCCCTGTCCCTCTTGCAGGCCTGTGAGGAGGTCCTCAAAGGGTGATTCTCATATCTCCTGCTGTTCCCTCCCACTGCTGCTCATATGTCTAAACCCAGCTCAGTCTTCCCCTCTTCCAGGGCTACTTCTGCCTGAATCCCACAAGCCCTGAGCCCTCCGACCTTCCCATTGTACTACCCTGACCAGCAGCCACCAGCCCTGCCAGTGTAACTGGGCAGAAGGAAAAGCAGGGGATCCCCATCTGTGCTGCCTCTGGCCTGAGCTGAGTCACACCGTCTCCCTCGCCTGCCTTCTCTGTGTCCCCCTTCCCCATCCTCAGGGGACTTTCTGAAGGCAGTGGCCAGCCTGCTGTCAGCTCAGAGACCATTGTCTTCCCTAGGAGACACTGAGAGAGAAGATCTTCACACCTTTGACTGTGGAGAGTGCAGTGGATGCCAGGTAAGCCTGATGTGGCTGGTCAGACCCCCAGGCCCTCGCCCCGCACTGTGTCCTGCATTAGAAATACTCTTTCCCTTTCAGGGACGCCATAGCAAAGGTCTTGTATGCATTGCTGTTTGGCTGGCTCATCACCAGGGTGAATGCACTGGTGTCTCCCCGGCAGGACACAGTGTCCATCGCCATCCTGGACATCTATGGCTTCGAGGTGGGAGCTGTGTGGCAGGATGGGGCGCGGTGGCTGAGGCTTCCCATCCCCATGCCTCGTCATCCCTTTCCGAGTCTCTCCCTCGCCCACACACCCAGCTCTCAGGAGACCAGGGAAGAGCTGTGACAGGAACACCTAGCGATGGCAATACTTGAGGGGAGAGGGGACAGGTCAGGTATTCTTCCTGAAGAGAAGGAGACCCCATGACATAATGCCTGAAGAAGAGTTAGGGGGAATAGTGTCTGTCCGGGCCTGGAAGTGTGTGGGGCAAGTGTCTAGAAACTTGGGCTTATGCCGTGAGTGCTGGGTTGAATGTACAGTGGAGAGCTGGGTGATGAGAATAGACGTGAAGGTTGACACTTCCACTTGGGGGTTCCTTCTCAAACTCTGTAGGGCTATCCCAGGCAGAGGGAACACTGGGGCCCTCAGATGTTTCATGTTTTCCATGAGTACATAGCACCTGCTATGTACTTCACTCAATCCTTACAATAACTGTATGATACAGGCTGTCAGCATCCCCATTTTACAGAGAAGGAACTGAGGCACAGAGCAGTTGCCTAAGGTCACACAGCTAGAAAATGACTTGAATCTGGGTAGAAGGCTCCATGTCTGTGCTGCCTTTCATCAGAACCTTGAATGTCAGGCTTCTGCCTTGTTTCAGGGTAGCCATGAAGGGAACAGCTGTTCTGTGCTCAGGCAGTGAGGGCTCTGGGCCTGGCTTGCCTGCCAGCCGAGGTGGGACCAGGCCCAACTCTCACTTCCCACCCGGCAGGACCTGAGCTTCAACAGCTTTGAGCAGCTGTGCATCAACTATGCAAACGAGAACCTTCAGTACCTTTTCAACAAGATTGTCTTCCAGGAAGAGCAGGTGTGCAGGCCCCATTAGCACTCCCATCCCCATCCTGAATGGCCAGGTCAGCCTGGGGCCACCTTGGAGACAGATGGGGAAGTACTGGTTCTCTAAGGCACACCCTTGGCTGTCAGGCAGTGGGACCAGTCCATATGAAGGCTTGGAGAGCCACCTTGGGGGTTCCTTCTTAACCTTGTAGGGCTATCCCAGGCAGAGGGAACAGTGGGGCCCTCAGATGGTTCATGTTTTCCTGTGAGGCATGTAAGCTGAGGTGGCCTGAGCAGGTCTCTCTCTACATGGATCACCCTTGAGCCTCTGTTGCCTGTTGCTTGCAGGAGGAGTATGCCCGTGAGCGGATTGACTGGCAGGAAATCACATTTGCCAACAACCAGCTCTGTATCAACCTCATCTCACTGAAGCCCTATGGCATCCTGCGCATCCTCGATGACCAGTGTTGCTTTCCCCAGGTGAGCCTGTGAGACCACTCAACACCACTGAGTCCTTCATTCCTCTCTGCCCTGGCCTGGGGATAGGAGTCTGGGACACCCAGCCAGTTCACAACCTGGGGGAGTCAAGGTCAGACAGAGAGCCTGGGAAGTCAGAGAAAGCTTCCTAGGAGAGATGACCTTGGGGCTGGCCCTCAAATCCTGATGATGTACACAGAGTGGGGTGGGTGCTCTGGGCAGTGGGACTAGAGAGGGCAATTACAGCTGAACTGGGGGGAAGCTGCTGGGAACTGAGCTACCAGTGCCTACCTGCAAGGATCTACTCAGTTCTGAGGTTCACTTGCTTCCACCTTTGGTGCAATGGACAGCCTTAGGAAGATGTGAGTTATTCGTCCCTAATGCTTGCACTGGACTATGAACCACAAGATCGGCAGTTCAAACCCACAGCAGAGTTGCTGTAAGTCAGAATTGACTTGACAGCACTGAAAACAACAACAATACTTGCTAGAAACCTTGCCACCAAGCCAGGAACAGGTCATTTCCCCTGAGTGCCCACCCATTGACTTTCGCCTGCACTAGGCCACAGATCACACATTCCTGCAGAAGTGCAACTACCACCATGGCACCAACCCACTCTACTCCAAACCCAAGATGCCACTGCCTGAGTTCACGATCAAGCACTACGCAGGCAAGGTCACTTACCAGGTGAGACCCAAGGGACAGCGGGCTTGGCCTCCCCACACCTCAGTTCCCCTGTCTCTGCAGGACTTAGAAGTAGATTCCATCTCTGGCCCTGCAACTTCCTAGGGCCATCTGGAAAATAGGAATAATAGTACCCTTCTACTAGAAGCCTGGAGTCCTAATGTGGTGCTGTAGGATAAGCACTGGATTGCTAACCACAGGCCAGCAGTTTAAACCCACCAGCCACTCACTGGAAACCCCATACCAGGTCACTATGAGTCAGAACCAACTGGAAAACACTTAACAACTGGAAGCCTACAGTGGGTTTAAAAAGAATGCTTATTCTCAGCAGTAGAATCATGGAAGTCAGCCTCATCCTTACAATCTTAGGTACATTCCTGCCCTGGAGGTATTTGGGGCCAGCATTCTAGGCCTCTGTCTTCATCTGGGCCTCATTTATCATCATCTGTGAAATGGGCACAGATTAGTGTTGAACACTAAGGATGGGGACCAAGACCCACACTGGTTATGTGAAGCCATAGCTAGAAGCCATAGTTAATGCCCATCAGGGGTGGGGAGGGTGGTGGGAAGGGGGACCATAGCAAGAGGGAGGACCTAGTCCCTCCTGGGGCAGACAGAGAGACATAGACCATAGGGGCCCTCCTCACACTCCATGAGGGAGCCAAGTTAACATAGACTTGGCTGGGGTGTCTTTCTACCCTGTTCCTCTAGGCTGTTTGGGTTGGAGGGTGGTGGCCTGAGCTTCCCCCATGTTCTCTCTTTTAGGTGCACAAATTCCTGGATAAAAACCATGACCAAGTACGCCAGGATGTGCTGGACCTGTTTGTAAGGAGCCGGACACGGGTAAGCCCCCCCCCAGCCCATAGTCCTGACCCCATTACCCGGGACTCTACCACCTGGGTGCTACCCTGGCCTGGCTCTGCCTCACTTAGCTTGCCCCAAAACCTGAATCCACAGGAAAATGGGAAGGCACCCCAGTCTTATCATTGCTTGCTTTGACTAGTCCTATCCTCTAGCTGGCACTGTCCATGGTGGGCTCGGCCTCATTGCTGCAGCCCCAGCCTACCTCATGCCCGAGGTTGATGCTGTGACACACAGCACAGACCTGGTTGGAATCCCAACCCTTGTTCTCCCTGGCATGTCCCCTGAGGAGGCACCTCCACTTTCTGGTCCTCTACTTGCTCCTCTGTCAAGTGTGTGCCTGTCCAAGACTGTGTGTGTGTGTAACAGGCCCACCTCAGGCCCAAGTATTGCTTTTCAGTACCCAATGTGTGTTCTCTGTCTGAAGAAGAAAACCTATCACAGCCCAGTCATGGAACAGGCCCTTGGAAGGTGCTGAATGTTCTGTCTTGAGAGGCGTACAAGCCAGAAGGCCAGAGGCCTCACAGATAGGGGTGGAAGCTTTAGGACCCTCTGGTCTGGAGATGCATTTTTTTTTTACTGCTTTTTTCTCTCCTTCCCTCCACTTCTGCTGTCCTCGGTCTCCCCCTTCCTCCCCTACACCTCTCCATCTCTTGGTTCCTTAACCCTCACCCCTGCCCAGGTTGTGGCACACCTCTTTGCCAGTCATGCCCCGCGGGCTGCCCCTCAGCGCCTGGGCAAGAGCGGCTCAGTCACCCGACTTTACAAGGCACACACAGTGGCTGCCAAGTTCCAACAGTCTCTTTTAGACCTGGTGGAAAAGATGGAGAGGTGGGCATGGCCAGTGGGCGTGTCTGGTGGGTGGGCCATCTCACGACCCTCAGCAGGGGAGTTCCTTCTTTTGGGGGCCTCACGTTCCCTGCTTGCTGCCCTGTGCAGGTGTAGCCCCTTGTTTGTGCGTTGCCTGAAACCCAACCAAAAGAAGGTGAGTGATGGCTGAGGTCTCTGGGAAAGCCAGAGCTCCCCTCCACGCTGGGTGGCCCTGGGCCAGGCGCTCTGCCTCGCGGGCTCTCCTTCTGTCCAGCCCACCATGGGTTGTTCTCCTTGCTCTTGCACCCTCACAGGAGCCAGGCCTCTTTGAGTCAGAGGTCGTAATGACACAGCTGCGCTACTCAGGGGTGCTTGAGACTGTGCGTATCCGAAAGGAGGGCTTCCCAGTGCGGCTGCCATTCCAGGCATTTGTTGACAGGTATGTCAGTCAGGGGTTCCTGGGTGCCATAGACTCCGGGACCCAGAACAGAGACTGCAGCATCGACTGGGTCTTACACAAGGCCACCACATATAGCCGTCACGTGGTCAATACCATTACTGTTTTCCGTTTTTTCAGATTTGCATTATATTTGTGTTGACTTCAAAAAGGTTGGTGTTGCTAGTTCTAATGACCATTTTCCAGGAGAAAGTGTCTTGTTCTGCTGAAATCATCATTTTGACAAATGTACACAAGTACTTTTTTTTCATTAGGCCAGGCCTCCCTGAGACACGTGTGGTCCTGTGGACAGGTGTACCAGGCCCCCAGCTGAGTGTGCTCTCTGCAGGTACCGTTGTCTAGTGGCCCTCAAGCATAGCCTGCCAGCTAATGGGGACATGTGTGTGTCAGTGCTGAGCCGCCTGTGTACTGTTGTGCCTAACATGTACCGAGTCGGAGTCAGCAAGGTGAGTCCTACCCCTGCGGGTCCCCAGAATGCCTGAGCTAGAGCCTCCTGTCCCAGAAGCAATCCAGATAAACTTAGTAGATGTTATGCTGACCCCATCTCTGGACCTTTGTCCAGGCAACTCCTAACTGCCTGGTTCACCACTGCTCTTTCTTGTTGTTGTTAAGTGCCGTGGAGTCGGTTCCAACTCATAGCGACCCTGCACAGGGTTTCCGAGGCTGTAAATCTTTACAGCAGCAGAACGCCTCCTCTTTCTCCCGCAGAACCGCTGGTAGTTTCGAACTGCTGACTTTGCGGTTCACAGCCCGATTCGTAACCACTACGCTACCACTGCTCTTTCTTGTTGTTGTTGTTGTGAAGTGCCGTCGAGTCGGTTCCGACCCATAGCGACCCTGTACAGGATTTCCAAGGGTGTAAATCTTTACGGGAGTAGAAAGCCTTATCTTTCTCCCGCGGAGCGGCTGGTAGTTTCGAACCGCTGACCTTAAGGTTCGCAGCCCGATTCGTAACCACTACGCTACCACTGCTCTTTCTTACATGCCTCCAAATCCAGCCTGTCCTCCAGCCAGCTCCCTGCCTGCCCTGTTTGTTCTGTCTCCATGTGCTTCTAGGGAGGAGGGAGCCCACCCGTCCAGCCACCTGGCCCTTACTTACCTCAGTGCTTACCTCCTGTTCCCAGCTGTTTCTTAAGGAACATCTGTACCAGCTGCTGGAGAGCATGCGGGAGCGGGTCCTGCACCTGGCAGCCCTCACACTGCAGCGCTGCCTCCGGGGCTTCTTCATCCAGCGGCGATTCCGCTCCCTTCGCCATAAGATTATCCTGCTACAGAGCCGGGCCCGCGGCTACCTGGCCAGGTGGGGCCCAGAGAGGGTGGATTCCTTGGGGCCCTATTGTTGTTGTTGTTAAGTGCCGTGGAGTCGGTTCCGACCCATAGCCACCCTGTACAGGGTTTCCGAGGGTGTAAATCCTTACGGGAGTAGAAAGCCTCATCTTTCTCCCGCGGAGCGGCTGGTAGTTTCAAACCGCTGACTTTAAGGTTCACAGCCCGATTCATAACCACTACGCTACCAGAGCTCCTTTTGGGGCCCTATAGCCAGGTTTAAGAGAGGCTGTGCCTGAGCTTAGGGAGTGAGCTCTCTGCCCTGGGGGCATGCAGGCAGAGGGTAGAGGTTTCTGAAGAAAGAATGATCCAATTCACTGGGTATCCTTGTGCTGGTGGGTGGGAAAGTTAGTTCAGCTGGGGGCCCCAGCCTAGATATCTAGGACCCTGATGGAAATATATTGTTGTTAAGTGCCGTCAAGTCAGGTCCAACTCATAGTGACCCTGCATATCAGGTGAGGACCTTTTTTTACTGCCAAAATTTATAACATCATTTGTGGATCATGCAAAATTAACAACTTAAAAATTAGGCTGCTATATTTGGTCAAATATTGTGGCGCTGTAGGATAAGCACACGACCACAAGATCGGTTTGAACTGCAAGGTTAGCAATTCAAACTCACCAGGCGCACTTCAGAAACCTTATACAGGGTCGCTGTGCGTCGGAATCTACTCAATAACAACAACAACGTCAGGACAAAACTGCAGTTCCCTTGGCAGGGCTAGACTGTAGGCTGGACATTCCCCACCCTTGCTGTATATAATGTTTCCAAGGAACAGCTGGTGGCACCACATAGACAGGTTAATTGGGTCCTAACACTTGACTTGGTCTCTGACCTTGACTAAGTCAACTCTACTTTGAGCTCATTCCAAACCTCTGTGCCAGAGTGAAGTGTAGGCAGCCTGGGTAGGCATCTCTACCCTCTTGGTAACCTGTGACTCCATTCCCCACACCCCCACACCAAGATATCTTCTGCCATCCACAGGCAACGATATCAGCAGATGAGGAGGAGTCTGGTGAAGTTCCGGTCCCTGGTGCACTCATACATAAACCGCAGGCGCTACCTCAAGGTATAAGTCGCCACCCCCCTCGCCTCTGTGCCTGGGCCCAGGGAGCAGAAGGAGGGGCAGCACATGCGCCTGTTGCTGCCTCGCTAGCCTACCATCTACCCTTGGTGCTTGTGGAGAGGGTTCAGTGAGATGGTGCACATGACCACTGGGCTGGGCCAGCTTCACATTTTCACCATTTTCACACTTCACACTATGGAAACGAGGGGTATGGTTCTGCAGAGGGTGTGGGTCTTGGCCTGTAGTCATGTGGGCCGCCACCAAAGCCCTTAGGAGCTGCATCACGTTTACTGAAGGCTTCTAAAAGTCCTCCATGTAGGTCTCTCTTCCCCTAAAGTTTTCCTCTGGCCTTCCTTTGCCTCGTCTCTCTCTTTCTCTGTCTTTCCTCTTTCCCTGTGTTTCTGGCCACATGCCTGCCTCCTCCTGCCCCCCTCGACGTGGGCACAGTGGCCACAGCCTCATGGACAGGGCTCCAGTCTGCAGGCATAGTTGCCCCTTTATCTTCATGCCAGCTACCTGTGCAAGCTGGCACAGGCCCGCCCCAGTCTGGCGGCTGCCGTTGCCCCTCCTGCCATGCCTGCCTTGACCATCTGCTCTCCTGCAGCTGAAGGCAGAGCTGAGGCACCAGGAGGAGGAGGCGTGGCTTCGGGAGCAGGAGGTGGGTGCAGGGTCCGGGTAGGTAGCAAGGGCTGGGAGGCTGGCAGGTGGGGGTGTGGCAGGCTGGTCTCCTCACATATGCCCTCCCTCCAGGAGCTGAACAAGCGTGAGGTGGTGGCTGTGGGACACCTGGAGGTACCTGTGGAGCTGGCTGGGCTCCTGCGGGCAGCAGCAAGTATGTCTGTGCTGGATGGCGGTGGGGGCAGTATGAACGGGATGGATGTGAGCAGGCACAGTTGCCAGGCACTAATACCCTCTGCAGGCCTCCGAGTGGCCCAGGTGGCCCCCATTCGGACTCCTCGGCTCCAGGCTGAGCCCCGTGTCACGTTGCCCCTGGATATCAACAACTACCCCATGGCCAAGTTTGTTCGGTGTCAATTCAAGGTAAGGGCTACTTGAGGCACACAGGAGCTGGTCAGTGGGCACTGGCCAATCTGAACTGACCTGGCCCACAACCTCGGGCATCATAAACAGGCCTAACCCTGTGCCTTTTGGTGTCACTATGGCCTCTTCAGTGCTAGATCATGGGCAGCTGGTCCAGCCACAGCACAGCAGCCTTGCCTAACTTTCCACCCTTCAGGAAGGGCTCAGCCATTGATTTGCTGAAGCTGGTATCTGCCTCACCCATATACTGGGGACAAGAACCTGTGCTTCACAGACTCTGTGCACCCACCTGGCATAGAGTTGTGAATCCAGATGTGCCCCCAGGAACCCTCCTTTGGGATGCTAACAGTGCCTCTGAGGACCCCTCTCACGTGGCTGCCGGCAGAACACCACAGGGAAGCCCTGACCATCTTCAAACTGGTATGACATCCCCAGGCTACATGCAAATTCATAGTCCCTACCCTTTAAGCTCTGGTAGCGTAGTGGTTACGAATCAGGCTGCAACCGCAAGGTTAGCAGTTTGAAACTACCAGCTGTTCCACAGGAGAAAGATGAGGCTTTCTGCTCCCATAAAGATTTACAGCCTCGGAAACCCCGCTATGAGTCGGAACCGACTCCACGGCACACCACCCTTGAGGTCATGCCATGAGGCTCCCAGACCTTCCCTCCTGGGCCCTCTATTACCCCCTTTCATGAGACCAGATCTCCTCTTTGGAGGAGAGACTTCTATGTCATTGGGGGGATCTGGCCTCCTTTCTTCCAGCCATCTTCCTGGCAACAAAGCTGCATTGGAGCCTCTCTGGAGCATTGTAGGAACACTGAAAATAGGACCCAGGTCCTCCTCTCAAAGACTTCCTAGTCTGAGGAGGAGCTAAAGTAGATTCTGTAGATTGAGGTTGAGCAGAGAAACTGGGGCTGTCCAGGCAAGAGACCTCTAGACCCTGAGCAGGGTTAGAGAGGACTCCCTTAAAGGAGAGACATTGGAGCTAAATTTGAAAGGAGTCAGAATTTGCCAAGCAGGGAAATGTGGTAAAAGTGCAGCAAGAATGGGAAATTGATGGGGTCCAAACAGAGTCAGGTGAGAGGGGTCTGTAAGGTTTTGAGTGACAGACCTAGAGCTTGGATTTCATCCCAGGGTCACTAGGTAGCTGTGGAAGGGATGTGGTCAGGATTAAATGTTAGAAAGAACCCTCTGGGGCCTGGATGGACCAAGAGTGTCGGGAAGGAGCTGGTGCTGCAGAAAACCTCTAGAAGGTTCATGAGCAGGAGAGAAAGTCAGTATAGACTTTGGATCTGACTTTCCCCGAAGTTAGGGTAAATAGAATATGTCCTGGTGTGGCGCTGTGGGCGAATGCGTCAGACTGCATTATCTGAATTGCAAGATCGGTGGTTCAAGCTCATCAGCTGCTCCTTGGAAACCCTACATAGGGTCACTGTTAGTCAGAATTGACTTGACGGTACACAACAACAATTATGAAACATGGGGGACTTTTGTGGATATGGGACACCAGAGGGACATGAGAGGGACTCATGTTGGTTGGGGGAACCAGGCAGAAACTCCTTTCTGAGAGGCCCAGAGAGTCTGTTTATGTCCCAGGTTCTGCGTTTTATGGGTGATCCCCACCTGCACAGTACCCGGGAGCAGGTCTTCGGGAACTACATTGTACAGAAAGGGCTGGTGGTGCCTGAGCTACGTGATGAGATCCTGGTACAGCTGGCCAACCAGGTGTGGCGCAACCCCAATGCCTACAATGCTGAGCGGGGCTGGCTCTTGCTGGCCACCTGCCTCGGCAGCTTCGCACCTTCCTGGCGCCTTAACAAGTACCTCCTCAAGTGAGTGGGACCTGGTGGGCAGTGGGGCAGAGGGGCGAGAGGCAGAATCATGAGGATCAACCTGGAAATGAGGTCTCTATGCTTAGAAACTCAGGCCTGGGCTTGCTCTCCACCTCCACTGGGCAGGCCTTCACAGCATTGGGTAGGATTCAGGTCAGACTGTGTAAAGGACTTACAGAACTTACAGGGTGACAAGACCAGGATGTTGAAGACTTGTGAAAGAATATATTGCCATCTGTGGCACTGCAGGTTAATGCACTGAACTGCAGGGTTGGTTTGAACGTCAAGGTCTGAGGTTAAAGCTCACCAGTTACTCCTTGGAAACCCTATACAGGGTCTCTATGAATCACATCTGACTTGATGGCACTTGACAGCAACAACAACATGTCATTGTTGTTGTTAAGTACCACGGAGTCAGTTCCAACTCATAGTGACCCTGCACAGGGTTTCCAAGACTGCAAATCTTTACAGAAGCAGAAAGCCTCACGGAACAGCTGGTAGTTTCAAACTGCCAATCTTGAGGTTAACAGTCCGATTCGTAACCACTACACTACCAAAGCTCCTACATGTGGTAGAGTGTAGAAAAGTGATTAAGAGCATGGGCTCTGGACTCAGAAAGTCTGGGTTCAAATCCCAGTTTAGCCACATATGAGCTGTGTGACCTCGAACAAGTTGCTTAGCCTCTTGGGCCTCAATTTCCTCACACGTATAATCATGATAGTGCAATAATGATAAAGCTAGTACCTGTAACAATAACAACGGATTCCTGGTGTGACGACCCTGTAGGGTTGGCACTAGACTGCACACCACAAGGTCAGCAGTTCAAACCCACCAGCTGCTCCTTGGAAACCCTATATAGGGTCACTATGAGTTGGAAATGATTCAACGGCACTTAACAGCAACAACAAATACAATAACAGTAGCAGTAATGATAATGATAGTGCCTACCTTATAGACTTATGCATATGCAATGCTTAGAACAGACACTAGTGCGGTGTGAATAAGTGTTCCCACCACCATCATCGGAGTCCTGGTGTGGCGCCATAGGATAAGCCCTAGACCACAAGGTCAGTTTGAACCACAAGGTCATCAGTTCAGATTCACCAGCTGCTCCTTGGAAACCCTATACAAGGTCACTATGAGTTGGAACCAACTTGATGGGACTTTAACAGCAGCCATCATCAGTATTATTATGTCACCATTTTGTCTGAGAAGGGTGATTTATAAGGAGAAGAGCTTTGGCAAACCCCAGGTACAAATCGTTGCTTTGACATTTACCTGCTCTGTGACTTGGAGCAAATCACTGCCCCTGTCTGAACACGTTTCCTCATCTGTAAGTGAAGATATGAGGTAGACAGAGCCTCACTGGGTCCGTGCAAAGTAATGGAATGGGCAGCTCCCTTGACCAGTCTTGTGATTCTGATGGTACCACCTGCCTGTCGGTCCCAGGCTTTCCTGTGGGCATAGCTCTTGGCTCCCTCTTATAGACTTCCAGGTACTGCTTTCATGCTGCTCCCTGGCCAGATTCAGCAGCAGAGGGCCAGGCATGAGGGGTGCCTGGCTAGGGAGAGATCTGATTCATTGGCCCTGAGGCCAGAGTTGACTCTCAATGCCATGTCTTGTGATATGAGAACTTTGAAGATCAAGGAAGGCAGGGAATCTAGCCAGAGCTGCCTGGTGGAATAACAGAGGGCCGTTCTGGCTCCAAATTTCCTGCCTACCTCCAGCTACAGACCCCATCCCATCAATGGCATTTGGCTTCAGAAAATGTAAGTGGGCCAACTTGGAACCTCCATGGCCTGTCCTTGGACCTTTGTGCTGGCAGGAGATACCCTGGGCAAGCCTGGAGTGGTGCCTTCAGCCTAGCCCTGAAGCTCTGGGCTATACTAGAACCACTTCAGTCGGCTCTCAGAGTTCTGACATAGCCTTTTCAGCCTACCTTAGAGCTCTGGGCTAGTCTGGACCTCTCTTAACCTAGCCTGAGACAGCCCCCAATCCTGGATCAAGATCCCTTTTGATCGTGACTCCAACCTCATCCACCAGGTTTGTGTCTGATTACGGGCAGAATGGCTTTCAGGCTGTGTGTCAGCAGCGCCTCATGCAGGCTATGGGCCGGGCCCAGCAGCAGGGCTCCGGGGTCGCCCGAACCTTCCCCCCGACCCACCTTGAGTGGAGAGCTGCCCAGGAAAAAGCCAGCATGGCACTAGATGTGGGCTGCTTCAATGGTGAGCTGCCCTCCCCACCCTGATACTATCCCCCCTGGGCTCAGGAGAAACTGCAGGGGGAGAATTTTCAGCTGGGGAGGACCCTACCCAGATGTGGTTTTGGACCTGGGGGTGGGAAGAAGGGATAAGGCAGAGGCCTGGAGGCTACAGGCCTGGGGTTGTGGAGAATAGCAGAAGCCTGGGCTACAGACAAGCTTAGGTTGAGCCCAGCACCTGTTGCCTCCATAGGAGACCAGTTTTCCTGCCCAGTGCACTGCTGGAGTACAGGGGAAGAGGTGGCTGGAGACATCCTAAGGCACAGGTTGGCTCCCCAAGTACCCCACCAGCACCTCTGGTACACCTGGGACAGAGACCATAGGATCCTCTTTGATCAGGCTCCTCTCCCAGGGCCACCCAGGCAGTGCTTGATGGCGCCTTTTCTCATTCCCATCCCTCCTGCAGGGGACTGATTGATGGCTGGCGGGGCTGGACGGTAGCCATGAAGAACGGGGTCCAGTGGGCAGAGTTGGCTGGCCATGACTACGTGTTGGACGTGGTGTCAGACCTAGAGCTACTCAGGGACTTCCCGCGGCAGAAGTCCTACTTCATCGTGAGCACAGAAGGGTCCACAGCTGGCAGAGGAGGCCCCAGAGTGTAGGTCGCTACCTGGACACTCTCTCGTACAGATGGTCTCCCCAGGGTCTCTGCCAGCTGCTGGGTGAGGTCTCTGGAGGAGGTGGACTTCTCCTAAGAGTCCTGCCTTTTAAGAAGAGAGCTGCTGACTTTTGGGGCACAGGAGAGAATTAGGGGTGGGTTTTCTGTGGGCTGTGGATCTTTCTGGGGGTCAGCTGTTCCATGAGTCCATTCTCCACAGGATGTTTGGGAGCAGCTGGGACTCAGATGAGGATGCACCCATGAAGCCCCAGCCCCAAGGGCATGTGCCCCAAGTGTCTGATGCCTGTGGGTACTGCAGCCACAATGAGGATGGTACACCTGGGGAGACTGAGGCCCAGGGAGGGACAGTGACCCACTCACACCAGTCAGCGATGGCTGCTGTCTCTGGTGGGAGGGAGCCTGGGGGCCATGGGGCTGGAGAGCAGCAAGAGACAAGAGTTGGTCTTTCTTGTATCCATCCCTCAGCAGACTGGGACAGCCTTGGTGAGCCCGTGGTACCCCACAGGGGGCTGGACTGCTACCTTGACAGCCTTTTTGACCCCGTGCTGTCCGCCGGGGATGTGGTATGCAGGCACAGCCAAGCCAGGGCCACGGGGATGAGGGACCTCATATAGCTAGGGGTCTCAGATTCCTCACCCTGCCTCTGGGGGAACCAGCCCAGGGTGACCACTGACAGCTTTCCACCTGAGGTGAGCCCTCAGACACCCTTGTTCACTCTAGGAGCTGCCAGGAGCCCCTCCATGGGCTCAGACATGATGTGCCCTCGGATCAGGGTATAGCCCCTCTGTGAATGTCACTTAGCAAACCTAGGACAGAAAGTATACCTGGGTTGGGAGCGGGCAGGGCTGTAGGGAGGATGAATTGGAGACCATGTAGGCAAAGGCTTGGCCAGTGGAGAAGGCAGAAGAGGTGGTGGTGTCAGGTGCCCGTTGCCATGGCACTTGAGAGTGCAGGATTAAGGCCGTCACCCTAGCTATCTGCTGCCCCAGGACCTGGAGAAACCAACAGCCATTGCCTACCGCATGAAGGGGGGAGGCCAACCTGGTGGAGATGGCAGCAGCAGCACTGAAGACACCCCCGGCAGACACCCAGAGCCAAAGCCAAGTCAGTGTCCATCCAGGGCAGCTCCAGGGTGGGGCAGCTGGGGCTGATCACTGATCCCTGCTGGGATGAGGGCAGAGGCTGGGTTGGGGTATGGGTGGGGCTCCCAGCACCCTCTCTTCCCCTCCTCCTGCTAAATCCATGCCTCCTGCCTGACCTGGCTCCGCAGTCCCAGGCCTAGACACCTCCACTCTGGCTCTGCAACAAGCCTTTATCCGCAAACAGGCCATGCTACTGGTGAGTGAAGGGAGGGGCTGCTGGGGGCCCAGAATGGGCTGCCTGGTCCCAACCACCCTGTCTTCCCAGGCCCGGGAGATGACGCTGCAGGCCATGGTACTCCAGCCACAGCCCATGGGCCCCACCCTGAGGCCCCTGTCCCCTGAGGTGAGCCATCTCTGCAAAGGGGTGCTGTGCTGTTCCAGGGCACTGTTGCCTTCCTCTGAGCCCAGCAGCCCAACAGCATGAGCTGGGGCTCTCGAGAGCAGGTAAGGGACTGGAATGTCCCAGGCAACCCACCTCCGCCCTGCTTTCTGCAGAAACCCTTAGTTCTGGAAGCATGGCCAAAGTCTGTGGGCACTGGACCCCCGGCCAAACCCGTGCTCCTGCGCTCCACCCCAAGGCCTGTGGCCCCAGCACCCCCAACCAAGGACCCCAAGCCCCCCCACAAGCCCACAGCAGTCCCCGTTCTAACTCAGGACCAAACTTCTCCAGAAACCAGTGAGTGTCCTATCCCCTTGGCAGGGGGTGGAGGGAAGAGGCTTCTCAAAATAGGACTGCAAGTGTGGCTTTGCCTGGTGACATGCCCCCTTCTCCCATACTCACAGCTCCCCCAGAGCTGGTCCGGCATTCAACGCTCAACTCAGAGCACATCACTCAACCCACGCAGCAGATCAAGAATATTGTGAGGCAGTACCAGCTGCCCCGGGGTGGCAAACCCCAGGCCCTCAGGTCAGCACTGCCCCCTCTTCTTCAGTTTCCTACCTTCAGTGTGCTGTCTGCTGGGGTTGGCAGTGCCAGGCCACACTCCCTCTAGGGAGGAGTATATTTATGCAGGTGGAGGGTTCTTGTGGCAGAGGGAGGCCTAGACTGCTATCTGCTAGGTTGTCCTGTGTGACCTCAGCCCCAGTCCCTGGGTTTGGCTTTCTTCATTTCTAACAGTGAGGTAGGTGATAGGGAAGGAAGTTCTTTATTGTAGGAATTGATGGTGGGCAAAGGGAGATTCAGTATCTAACCCATCATGGCATACCAATGCTGCCCAGGAAGGATGGTGGCAAAGTGTTTATTAAGCGGCCAGACCCCCATGAGGAGGCCTTGATGCTCTTGAAGGGACAGATGACTCACCCAGCAGCAGCACCTGGTACTGAGGTGAGGTGGCAGGGTTGGCCATGGTCAGGGTGGAAGACACAGCCATGTCTCAGGGGGTCCGTTTGCCTGCCTCCTTCCCTTGCTGCCCCGTGAGCACTTTTTCTCGGATGGGGACAGGTGCCCAGGGAGGCCATTGCCTTGGTGAAGCCAGTGACCTGTGTACCAGGGCCATCTGTGGAGCCCACTCCAGGTGAGGGGCATGTGGGCAGGGTGTTCACATGTACAGGTGAGTCCTGTCCCTAATCCTGGATGCATGTGTTATATGGACATATGTGTGATCCTAACATCAACACCTAAGGAACACAGAAGCCCTGGTGTGGCACTGCAGGATAAGTGCTGGACTGCAAGGTCAGTTTGAACCACAAGGTTGGTGGTTCAAACTCACCAGCCACTCCTTGGAAACCTTATACAGGGCCGATATGAACTGAAACCAACTTGACAGCACTTAACAAGAAACAAGTCCCACTGGTCACAGGTCAGGCCCACCCTGGGAATCCATACATTTTGCACATACTGACTCACTTCTTGTTGTTGATAAGTACCATCAAGTAGAATCCGACTCATCACGACTGTGTATAGGGTTTCCAAGGAGCGGCTGGTGGGCTTGAGCTGCTGACCTTGTAGTTCAAACCCATCTTATGGTCTAGTGCTTATCCTACAGCGCCACAGCAGGACTCCACTGACTCACTTACACCTCACTAAAACCCATCCGGGCAGTACCATTTGTGTCTACATGTTACAGATGGGAGATGGAGGCACAGAAAGGCTAAATTACTTCACCAAGGGCACACTGCAAGAACTATAAGAATTGGCATCAGAATTGGAGCCCTAACCTCTACACCAGCCTCTTCACAGCAGCCACAGTAGTCTACAAAAACATAACTCACAGCACATACCTGCCAAGAACCTTTCCTCAGTTGTTGGATAAACTGTGCATTTCTCACTGTGATTGACGAAATTCAGTGTGCTCTGCCCACTTCCCCATCTTCATCTACTCCCACTCTCACCTTGGTGTACTATTTCTGGATCCCCTGCCTCAGGGCCTTTCCACACGCTATTCTCTCTGCCTACAATGCGTTGGGCAGAGCTTTGCCTGCCTGGCCATTTCTCATTGTTTAGGTCTCAGTTCAAATGCTGTCGCCTCAAAGATAGCCTCTCAGACCACCCTGACTGAAGGACCCTCACAGATTGGCCCTGTTTTATTTCCATCCCAACTCAATTGTCTTTTCCCCATACCCACCACAAGGGCAGGCTCCTTGTCTAGCCTGCTTATCAGGGTATTTCCAGACCCTAGCACTGGGGCCTGGATCTTGGTGTGGTGCTGTAGTGATCAGTACTGGACTAGGAACCACAAGGTCAGCAGTTCAAACCTACCAGCTGCTCCTCAGAAACCTATACAGGATCACCATGAGTCAGAATCGACTCCATGGAAATTAGCAACAAGAAGAAGCATTGGGGCCTATATACTATGGTTAAATGCCGTTGTGTCGGTTCCGATTCATAGTAACCCTGTATAGGGTTTTCAAGGAGCAGCTGGTGGGTTTGAACTGCCAGCCTTATGGTTCGCTTCCAGTACTGATCCTACAGCACCACCTCAGGAGGCGATTGCGGCGTGCATGTGCTCCTGTGTGAGCAAGTGTGTCTGTGGACAAGGGTGTGAGGAGTGTTCCTGTCCACTCGCCCATGCAAGGTCGCTCTCGGACACCCTCCTCCACCAGGACCACCTCACCCCCTTCCTTTGAGAGATGTGCCCCTTTATACTCTCTCCCAGTGCTGCCCTCCCGGTCACTGGAGCCCTTAGAAGAACCTGTGCAGACAAGACTACACCACCTTAGCAACCCCAACTTCTATGGCTACCGGGATGCCCCATGGCGGATCTTCCTGCGTAAAGAGGTATCTGCGGCCCCAGAGCCAGGAGGCCCTGGGGCAGGTCTGACATCAGGGGGTAGGGTCAGGGCACACTGGAGTGGGGGCAAGGGGCTATAAGGCAGGGCTACAGTGAGGAGGCATGGTTGAGCAGGAAGCAGGGGAGTCCCGGTCCTTGTTGAAGCTCTGCTCTACTCCATAGGTATTTTACCCCAAGGACAGCTACAACCACCCAGTGCATCTAGACCTCCTGTTCCGGCAGGTGAAGTCCCGTCTTCCATTTCTATTTCTGTGTCCTCAGCTGGCAAAGGACACACAAATGGGGTCTCTGTGAACTCTGCTTCCCAAATTCTGGGATTCAGATCTTCAGCGGGTGGGGACTGTTGGGTCAGTGAGCCCACAACCTGTTCTAACCAGAGTCACAGCTTGTCTTACCTAGACAGGGTCAAGAGGTCAAATCCAAACCTCAAGGTCAGGATTAGGAACTGAGGCCACAGCAAGTAGCACTTATCGCTGGGAGGAAGGAGACATTCCTGAAAGGGTTCCCTAGAGGCACTAAGTGGGGTCTGCTTTAGATGACTTTTTGTGACTTAAGTGGGACCCCCCATTTCCATTTGCTCCAGATTAGCATGGCCAGAGCTCAGAGTGGGGTGGTCCCCTGACACACACCCTGACTCTTGGCAGATCCTGCACGACACACTCTCTGAGGCCTGCCTTCGAATCTCCCAGGAGGAGCGGCTCAGAATGAAGGCCCTGTTTGGTACTGCAGGGGATGGAATGGGTGCTGATAGAGAGGCAGTTGCCAAGGCCACAGTCTGCCCTGGCCCTGCCTGTGTGCTTCCCTGGCACTCCCTCCCTGCTTGGCATGGTCAGGTTACATGTTTGAGTTCAGCTCCTCCACCCACTGTGTGACTCAGGCCTTCTCTCCATTGCTGGGTTTCCAGGTCCCAGTATATACAGTGAGAACACACTTGCTGGCAATCAGCTTCCCTGTCTGAGATGAGGACCACTAAGGTGGAGGGAGGGTCCTAACCCCATGTCACTTCTCTTAGCCCAGAACCAACTGGATACACAGCGGCCCCTGGTAACAGAGAGCGTGAAGCGGGCCGTGGTCAGCACTGCACGTGACAACTGGGAGGTCTACTTTTCCCGCCTCTTTCCTGCCACGGTGCGAGCCCCATCCCCAGCCCGCCCCACTAAGGGATTCAGAGAGGAGACTGAAAGCCTGTCATCCCTACTCCAGGGTAGCGTGGGCACTGGCGTGCAGGTGCTAGCAGTGTCTCACATGGGCATCAAACTCCTGCGGATGGCCAAGGGCAACCAGGAGACCAGCGGGCAGCTGCAGGTTCTTCGCACATACAGGTAACCAGCAGGCAGTAGGAGTGGCATACTGGAACCTGGGGCACTGACTGCCTTATTCAGGAACCATTTACCAAGTACCATGATATGTTGGACTCTGTGCCAAGCCTTTTAATTAAGCCTATAAGCACTGGATTGAGAGGTCGGTTTAAACTGCAAGGTTGGTGGTTCAAACTCACCAGCCGCTCCTCAGAAACCCTATACAGGGTTACTATGAGTCCTAACCAACTCAACAGCACTTAGCAACAACAACAACATTTTAGAAATAGGGAGACTGAGGCTTAGAGAGAAGTTCCTTATTTCAGATCACACAGTCAGGGAAGTGGGTGAGCTGAGAGCCCACAATCTCATCCTCTCAGACCCACACATGGCGTGTGCTCTCAGAACTGGCTGCGTAGTGGGCTGGCTGCACTGCAAATAACCACACCTTGATGCAGCCAGGGAGGAGAAGGGGGTGCTGGCTGTGGGCTCTGCTGAGAACTTGAACCCCTTCCCTACCTTCAGCCCCTTTTGTCCTTTATCACATGAGGGCAGGGACAGGGTTCCATTCACCAGTGAACGCTCCTTCCTTTGAAAGGTGGATTGTTATCAGTAGGGAAAGGAGCTAGACTTGCTGGGCACCATCTGGGATGCAGGGCCACATAGCAAGGGCTGGAGTGTCGGGATCAAATGATGATAGGGAACAAGACTGGAGTCACAGGCAGGTGAGAGAGGGTAATTGGTCTCCTTGGGGCTGGTGTAATGAGGCTGAGAGCCTCAAGTGGCAAAGAAGGAAGGCAAGGCTGGAAAAGAGGTAAAGGGCAGGAGCAGAAAAAGCAGCGTGGTGGGGAGGTCCCTCTGCCTTGGGGTCCATTCCTCATACCATCCTCCCAACCTCCAGCTTTGCAGATATCCTGTTTGTGACCATCCCCTCCCAGAACATGCTGGAGTTCAACTTAACCAGTGAAAAGGTCATTCTCTTCTCAGCCAGAGCTCACCAGGTCAAGACCTTGGTAGATGACTTCATCCTGGAACTGAAGAAGGTTGAGCCCCTCCTTTAGACTCCTCCCCTAAGAATCAAGGGCCCAGGAACAATGCCCTTCCACCCCAAACAGATACCAGCCACACCTGCTAAAGGAAGTGTGCTTGTGTGTGTGTGCCGCTGATAAGTCCTAGACTTCTCATTGCCCTGTATCACTGCATAGACTTTGCCAGCCACACATGCTGCCTTGCCCCCTTTTGCCTGCCGGGGCATGCCTTCCACAGAGTGACCATAGCTTTCCTCTGAGCTCCACAGCGTTTGGATTTCTCATACTGCTGCACTGACCACATTCCTAGACAGTGCAGCTCTAACCATCTCCTTCCTCCTCCCAGGTGGCGTGGCCTCCAGGTCTAGGGTGGGTCACCCGGTGCCTTGGCCCCAGTACCTGGCCCAGGGAAGAGTTCTGTAGGAAGGGTTTGATGAGAGCTTGTTTCTGTTGTCCATCTGCACTCATCATGCCTCCAGACCTGTTCTTTCTACCTGGAGTACTTGCCCCCCACACCCCACTCTCCCTTTCATCTAAGAATGTTTTCTTTGGCTGATGTCAGGGGGAGGGGAGTGACCCTAGACCTCTGGGAACTCCGTTACCCCTGGCCCTCCTGACCCAGGGCTCCAACTATGTGGTGGCTGTGAGAAACTTCCTGCCTGAGGACCCAGCACTGCTGGCCTTCCACAAGGGTGACATCATCCACCTGCAACCCCTGGAGCCACCCAGAGTGGGTCAGCACCATGAGGATGGAGTAGGTGCTGGGGGTGGGGGGTGCTGGACAAGCCCTACCCCCACCAGAACTGACCTACCTTGACCCACAGGCTACAGCTCTGGCTGTGTGGTCCGGAAGAAGGTCGTTTATCTAGAAGAGCTTCGGCGTGGAGGCCCTGACTTCGGTGGGCATCTGGGGGTGCTCCTCTACAGCCTCCCCTGACCCCTACACACACAACGGGACTGATCCTGGTTTCTTGTAGTCACACTGCAAGCACACAAGCGGGGTTTCTTGGTGCCCCAAAGGGGCCTCCCGCGGCCTGCCAGTCCTCCTGACAGCCAGCCAGCCTGCCTGCCATCTCCACGTTTGTGCCCCAAGTCTTTCTGTGTCTCTTTACATAATTCTATTCCACCTCCCACTACCGCACTGTCTACCCTGAGCACATTTTCTCATCAGTATAATGGGCTACACAACAGGGCCTCTCTACGGAGCTCTTCTAGTGTCAGGGAAATCTTCCCTCAGTCTCAAGACACCTCTCCTGTTTGCCTCAAACCCCTTTCTTTCCGCTTAGGCTGGAGATTTGGGACCGTCCATGGACGTGTGGGCCGCTTCCCCTCAGAGCTGGTGCAGCCCGCAGCTGCCCCGGACTTCCTGCAGCTGCCAGCTGAGCCGGGCAGGGGCCGAGCTGCTGCGGTGGCTGCTGCGGTGGCTTCCACAGCCGCAGCTCAGGAGGTGGGCCGCTGGAGAGAGGTGAGGCCCGCGAGGGAAGGGCCGGCCTAGGGTGGGGCGGGACCAGCCTGTCCGTAGGCCAGTCCGCATGGTGTAATCAGAATGGGCTGCTGTGTGACCAAATGTGGTAGAGAAAGATGGGGCTCTACTGAAGCAGGGATGGCTGTGACTTGACCCGTGGGAAGCCTATAGGAGGTGGCACCAGCCAGTTGAGTGGGGCGGGGCCAGGCTTGTTTAAGGGCGTCAGCAAGGGGCGGGGTCTGTTCCGGGTGGGAGGGTTACGAGTGTGATGGGGAGCCCACCTGCCCAAGAGGGGGTTCTTAGCAGCCTGTGAGTGGAGCCAGCCTTGACGCGGATGGGGCTAGGCAGCGTGTGGCCAGCTGGGCCACCTCTGGTGCCAGAGCTGCAACTTCACCCCTCTTGGAGGGTCCTTCACCCAGGGTGGGCTCCCTCGATCGCCAGGAGGGCACCCTGGCTCCTCCACAGCACACTATGCTGGAGTTTGCCCAGAAGTATTTCCGAGACCCGCAGAGGAGACCACAGTGAGTTGTGATGTCACCTTTCCTCCCCCTGGCTCCCTGGGTCCTTCCGGGGCTCCTTGCGATTACCCAAGCTAGGGGATCCTACTGTTTGTGGGCTGGGGGAGAGACCACCGAGATGTGAGCCCCTGCTTCAGCCTTAGTTGAATGATCACCACTTGCCTGGTGATACAAGTGGGGTTAAGTCTGAGGAAAAATATGTAGCCAAAGGCCTTAAGGTAGGTCTGACCACCATGAGTCCTCTATTGTAGAAATGGCCTCAAGCTGAAATCCAAGGAGTGTTGTCGGGAGTCCAGAACCTTGGAGGACATGCTTTGCTTCACTAAGGTGTCCAACCTTGGGCCTCTGTTTCCCCATCTGTAAAACAGTCATGCAAGACCCTTTTCCAGACCCCTGGGGCAAACAGTCTTGTCTTTAACAAGACCCCCAACTCTCAGACCCAGCCCTCAAAATTCCTGAGGGGCCAGCTTCCTCCCAGGGGCAGCATGTGTCTCCAGTGTTGGGCCTCCCTCCCCTTTAGTAATGTGGGTCTTCCTGTTATATGTCCCCTCTTTCTGCTCTGACTCATCCTTCCTCACCCTTCCAGATCCCACTGCAGGACTCTCTCATCGAATTTAACAACAGCAGCCTCAACCAGATGGCCACGGACATGTTCCTAGGTGTGATAGTGGGACTGTGGCCAGAGTCCTGGCCAGGATGCGACCATACTCTCTGTGACTTCTGGTCATCACTTCTCTCTGGTCCTCAGATTTTCCCTTAGTCTCCTCTTTAAGAGAATGAAAGTCCTCTGTTGTCTCTGCCTGAAACATCCTTGGGAGGGACCCAACCCTGAGGCGCCCTGGGGTGAGGTGTGCAGTTTGGGGTCTGAGAGGGACAGGTGTTTCCCATAGCTGTGATGAAGTTCATGGGCGATGCGCCGCTGAAGGGCCAGAGTGAACTGGATGTACTCCGGACCCTCCTGAAGGTCAGCCCCTTCTCTCATCTGGGACTTCACTTCCCTATTGGTCAACCAAAGTTGACAAACATTGGGGTGGGAAGCTTTTCCAGTGGTCCAAAGAGGAGTGCACCCCACTGGTGAGTGAGGGGACACCAGGCCTGAGTCCACATGTCTGGTTTGTGGTGTGGCCCCTGACATGCCCTTGGCATGTGACCTGATCTGCCCCCCCCCCCCTTAGCTGTGTGGGGACCATGAGGTCATGCGAGATGAGTGTTACTGCCAAATTGTGAAGCAGATCACGGACAACACCAGCTCCAAGCAGTAAGTGTCCATGGGAGCAAGTTCAGCATCCTACTCCCCAAGGCCAACCCTTTCCCTACTGCTTCCACCTTGTCCTCTATGTTCTGGGACAAGTTTTTTCTGCTCTCTGGGTTTCAGTTTCTTCATCTGTAAAATGACAAAAATGATGTATGTCTGGATCCGTGGTTGCAAGTGACATAAGCCCAACTCAAACTAGCTTAAGCAAAAGAGGCAACTTACTGACAACTGAAATTTCAGTGACTGGATGGCTTCAGGCATAGTTGGGTCCAAATATCATTAGGAAGTTGCCATCTCAATCTTATGGCCTTGTTCTACTTTGTGTTGATAACCATGCCCAGGTTGGTATCTTCTATAGGTTGGCAAAGTGGCAGTTCTGAAGCCATCTTCCCCAGTTCATCAATCCCAGGGAAAGCAAGAATGTCTGATCTAATATTTGCAGCAATACATCCTCAAATCTAATCTCATTGTGTTTGCTTCATCACATGCTATTCCTGAACCAGTCACAATTGCTGGAGGATATAGAGCTCTTGGATTGGCTAGACTTAGGTCACATGCCTACTCCTAAACCAATTCCTATCTTCCCAGCCACAGTGTATTAACTGTCTTCCATGCTATTTCCAAACCACTGGGATCTAGCAAAGGGTGGGTGGTTCCTCAAAGGAAACCCAAGTACAGACCCCAGAGGTGACATGTGGGGCCAGCACATGCTAGGTGTCTAACATGTGTCCTGCTCTTGTTACCCAGGACAGCCCTCCTGCCCTAGTCCTACCCCTGTCTCCTCACTTCTCTCCCTCCCCCAGAGAGATCCTGTAGCCCAGAAAGATCGGTTTATTTCTGTGTTTGTACGTGTCTCACCCCTTCCTCCCCTGGCAGAACCTGCCTTCTGCAGAGCTTTAGGCTCATCCGCCCTGTGCTTGCTGGGCAGAGGGGAGTGTCCTCAGAAGACAGGAATTACCTGAGAGCTAGAAACCTCCAGACCAGTCCCAATAGACTCCTGGCATGGCACTTAAGTGAGACATGGCTCTGGTTTGTTCTCGCAGGGACAGCTGTCAGCGAGGTTGGCGGCTGTTGTCCATCATGGCCGCCTACCACAGTTGCTCCGAGGTATTCCAGCCTTACCTCCTCCACTTCCTCCGAGACAAGAGCCAGGCTCTGGGCCTGCCCTTCCAGGGTGAGCATTGAGTACCTGCTTAGGGTGCTGGGTTCTTTGCCTGGGGACTGGGTAGATCGCAGGCAGAGGGGAAGTCCAGAGGGCTTGGCTCTTCACAGAGACTCTGGCTCATTTCTGACCATCAGTTCATGCCCAAACATTTGTAATGGCTCCACAGGGCCTCGAAGCCAACAGGGAGAGGCAGGTGTTAGCCTGGGTGATGAGCCCAGGTGTCTGAGTGGCAGGAGCAAAGGCCTAGCGGTAGAGTAAACATGGTGGGTAGAAGACGAGGGTGAGACCTCGTCTCTCTGGCTGTGGGAAATCAACCAACAAGGGTCTTAAGTGGGTCTGGACGGCGGACCCAAAACTGGTGGCAGGGTTTCAACCTTTCCCCCCTGGAGACTTCCTGGATCACTTCCTGGACCGTGAACCCAGCGGTTGTTTCTATAGTAACTGCTGGATCTCCTGAAGAGACAGGCTAGGGCCTCTGTTTCCTGATAGCCGTGAAGGAGACAGGGGACATCACCTTCCCCACCTCGGAATACTTCAATTAACAAATGTTCCCAGACCCAGAGGTGAACAAATCCAGCTCCCCAGAGAGGGGCTCCCAGACCCAGGAAGGCAGCAGAATGAGAACTCTTACTGGTCCCCTCTCTGGAGGGCTCTGCATTCCAGTTAGTTATTGGGGGAAAGCACTGCTTAACCCCAGAAGTGGAGTACTGGTGCTGACCTTGGCTAGGGGAATCCCAGTAGAGTTGCGTCTCTAGGGGCTCTGTGGCTTAGGCCTCAGTGCACCACCTTGGGACACGTGTATCCAGGGCCCATAACTAGCCAAAGAGACTATGTGATGACAGGATGTGGAGCAAGGTGCCCTCTGTCCGAGTCCTCTCTCACACTGCAACTCTTGACCTTGGACACATTTGTGCACCTCTCAAACCTGTTTCCTCATCTCTAAAATGGGGAGTCAGTGCCTATGCCACAAGTTCTGGGCAGAATACGGCAGACTCAGGAATGATGGCCAGAGGACTGGACCCCTGTCTCTGCAGGTATCGCCAAGGCCTGTGAGCAGAACCTGAAGAAAACCTTGCGGTTTGGTGGCCGCCTGGAGCACCCAAGCAGCATGGAGCTTCGAGCCATGTTGGTGAGTGGGAGTGGGGATGGGGCAAGAAGAGCAGTGAGATGTACCCTGCCCTTGTGTGCATGTGATTTAGGCAAGCTCTCCCCCCACCCCCCCTGCCGCCCCAGGCACTCCCTGGACCCAGCCTCTCTCTTGCCCCTCCCCAACCCCCAGGCTGGGCGGAGCTCTAAAAGGCAGCTCTTCCTTCTCCCTGGAGGCCTGGAACGCCATCTCAAAATCAAAACGTGCACAGTAAGTGAGGAAGTGCTGGGGGTTCCTGCAGGCAAGTGTTGGAAGGGCTTTTGGGGTAAGGGTGGGCTTCCAGGATGCTGAGCCCCTCCAGGGTTTCACACAGCCCCTTGAGCAGGAACTGTTTCATAGAAGAGCACACCAAGGCTGGGAGAGGTTACACCTCTAGGTCTAGGTCTCAGGCATGGAAATGACAAAGGCTGAGTTCCAGTCTGAGCCTTTCAGATCCTAGAAACCTTTCCCTGATGGTGGCTGGGGTCCAAGCTCTCAGAGGGGAGACGGTCTGCACTTGCCCTTCTGGAAGCACAGCAGTCAGTCCCACCTAACACACCTGGTCACTCCCTCCCACTCCACCCCAGGTGGCCCTGGATGTGCTAGAGGAGATTTGTGCTGAGATGGCTCTGACACGCTCTGAGGCCTTTGACGAGTACGTCATCTTCATTGTCACCAACCGAGGTGAGTGGCCAGGCAGACATGGCATGCTAGAGGCCATGACTCTTGGCCAGGTCAGATGCAGCCTTCTCTTGTTGTTGTTGTTGTTGTTGTTAAGTGCCATTGAGTCGGTTCCTACCCATAGCGACCCTGTATGGGGTTTCCGAGGCTGTAAATCTTTACAGGAGCAGAAAGCCTCATCTTTCTCCCACGGAGCGGCTGGTAGTTTTGAACTGCTGACCTTGTGGTTTGCAGCCCGATCTGTAACCACTATGCTACCAGAGCCCCTAATCCCTGTATTGGTGTTCCAGGGCTGCTGTCATACTGTAGGTGCTTTCTAAGAATAGAAATGTATTGTCTCACCATTCTGAAGCCTGCAAGTCTGACTTCTGGCCATTGGCAGGGCCATGCTCCTTCCAAAAGTTTCAGGCAAAGATCCTACTTATCTCTCCAAGTGGTGGCCCCTGGCATTCCTGGTTTGGATCACTCCTTCCAGAGTTGTCTTTCCTCAGTGGACTTGGGCCCACTGTCATAGATTGAGTTTCTTTCTAGTTCTGTCCTTCATTGAAAGTGGTGTCTAAAAATCTCCTCAGGGTCACTATGGTTTGGAACTGACTCAATGGAGCTTAACAACAACAACAACTATTATAGTTATTAGGTGCTGTTGAGTTGGTTCTGACTCATAGCCACCCTGTGTACAACAGATGGAAATACTGCTAGGTCCTGCACCGTCCTCACAAATTTTGTTATCCTTAAGCCCATTGCTACTGCCTCTGTGCCAATCCATCTCATTGGGGGTCTTCCTCTTTTTCACTGACCCTTTACCAAGCATCGTATTTTGAGTGCCTTGAAAGCTGAGGGGCTCATCTTCCAGGACTATCTGTGACAATATTCTGGTGCTATTCATAATCCTTTCATCTCCCAGTGCTGTATCTGACAGTGTCCCACTACGATTTATAAGCTGTCAGTGGCTAAACATTCAGAAGCAGTCCACCTCTTTTTCTTCCTAATCTGTATTAGTCTGGAAACTCCTCTGAAGCCTGTCCACCATGCGTGGCCCTGCTGGTATTTAAAATACTGGTGGCATAGCTTCCAGCATCACAGCAACACATAAGCCACCACAGTACAACAAGTTGACAGACGAGCATGGTGATATTATTATTGTAGACTTGTTTATTTCTTTCTTCAGTTCTTTTAGAGTTTAATTTACGTATTTGAGGCTGTCTCAATGGGAGCATGCATAGACATTCATTATGGTTATTTCCTCTGGTTTGACATTTAATAATAAAAAAAATCCTTCTTTGTCTCTTATGCTAGTTTTTTGGTTGACTTGTTTGTTTTGACTTTTTATTGTGAAGCTAGTGAAGGTTTACATTCAACAAATCATACACTTGGTTTCAGCTGAGTGATCATAATCACCTCCATGCAACAGTTACCCCACTTCCTCCCTGTGGTTCCTATTTGCCCACCCGCCTTCCCATCCCGTCTCAACTCTGTCCTTAGGAAAATGCTGCCCTTTTGATTTTGAATGACTGACCGTTCCACGGTGAGCATACCTTTCTACTGCTTGCCTGAAAATTGGGCCACGAGGGTGAATTCCTTTCCAGACCTGAAGAGTGTCTCAGATACTTCCAATCTGTTTCTGACCATTAAACCCGATCATTTTTTACTGCTATTATTAAATAATTTTGAGTTTTGTGCCACAGTTTCTCTCACTCTATCCAGGACCTTCTGATGTGATCCCTTTCAGAACAGTTGGTAGTGGTAACCAGGCACCGTCTAGCTTTTCTGGTCTCAGAGATGTAGAGACTGATGTTCACATGTTCATTAATCCATTGGAACAATGGATTCTAAGCCACTTCAATTCTTATCACTCTTCTTTTTTCTGCACATGGGGAGACTTTAGACGACCACTGCTCATGAGCTTTCAAGATCCCAGATGCTCCTCACCCAAGCCGGACCTGGAACATTGTCTTTGTGGATGATGTTATGCCAATTGACTATGGTGTCCCCTGAAACTATGGTCCTGAGCCCCCCAGGGCCAGAAATTCATTGTCTTAAGAAGTTTAATATCTTAATCTTAGGAACTTTTCATCATTTTGCCTGCTGTATGTTCCACCACATTCATAGTTGTGATTCCAGGAAAGGTAAATGTTCATGTACAAATAATCCTCTTTCAAATTCTTATATATTTCTTGGAGCTCTGGTAGCATAGTGGTTATGAGTCAAGCTGCTAACCTCAAGGTCAGCTAGTTCGAAACTACCAGTGGTTCTGCAGGAGAAAGATGAGGCTTTCTGCTCCTGTAAAGATTTACAGCCTTGGAAACCCTGTGCAGGGTGGTTATGAGTCAGAACCGACTCCACAGCACACCACCACCACCACCATATATGTATATAACTATATATAATCATCCCACTCTTTTTCTCTTACCCATTCAGCCCATGTATCTATGCACAGAACACTAGTGTTCCAAGGTTGTGTGTATGTCACTATTTACCTCTGTCCCCTTTAACCTATGCACACCTCCCTGTGCCTTCACCTGTCTTCATCATTCTTCTGTCACTGTCCCTCTTCTTATACATTGTCTTGCCCATTACTGGAGCTACCCACCCCTGGTAACCATCAAAGAATGTTTCTTTTAGTATGAAAACCTTTTCTTAAGTTTTTACAATAACGGTCTTATACAATATTTGTCCTTTTATAATTCACTAATTATAAAAGTATAGTGTCCTCCAAGTTCGTCCATGCTATGAAGTGTTTTGCAGCTTCATTGTTATTCTTCAGTGTTGCATAGTATTCTATTGTGTATATGTACCAAAGTTTGTTTATCTAGTCTTCCATTGATTGGCACTCAAGCAAACCACTCGTCTGTCAGTTTGTCATACTGTTTGCATGTTGCTATGATTCTGGAAACTATGCCACCAGTATTTTAAATACTAGCAGGGTCACCCATGGTAGACAAGTTTCAGATGAGCTTCCAGATGAAGAAAGACAGAGAGACTACTTCTGAATATTTAGTCACTGAAAACCTTGTGAACAGCAGTGGAACACTGTCAGACAGCACCAGAATATTGAGTATTGAAATATGATGAAGAGAACCAGAATTTTGTCAGATATCACATCGGAAAATGAGCCCCACAAGTTGGAAGGCATTCAAAGTACGACTGGAGAAGAGCTGCCTCCTCAAAGGAGAGTTGATTGTGATGACATGAATGGAGTAAAGCTTTTGGGACTTTTATTTAAATTGGACACAGCTCAAAAGGAGGAAAAACAACTGTAAAAATCCTTTAATAATCAGAACATGAACTGTACAAAGTATGAATCTGGGAAAATTGAAAGTTGTCAAAAATGAAATTAAATACATGAACATCAATATCCTAGGCATTAGTGAGCTGAAATGGACTGGTATTGACCATTTTGAATCTGACAACCACATATGGTTTACTATGCTGGGAATGACAAATTGAAGAGGAATGGTGTCACATTCATCATCAAAAAGAACATTTAGAGGTCTACCTTGAAGTACAACTGTCTGTAATAGAATATCCATATGCCTACAAGAAAGACCAATATTATTCAAATTTATGCACCAACCACTAAAGCCAGTGATGATGAAATTGAAGAATTCTACCCTAACTTCTTCAGAGTTCTGGTGTGGCGCTGTGGGTTAATGCACCAAACTGCAAGTTCAGCTTGAACCGCAAGTCAGTGGTTCAAGCTCACCAGCTGCTCCTCGGAAACCCTGTACAGGGTCGCCATGAGTTGGAACCAACTCAACGGCACTTAACAACAACATCCAACTTCTTCAGTCTGAGATTGATCAAACATGCAATCAAGATATATTGATAATTGCTGTTGATTAGAATGCAAAGGTTGGAAACAGAGGAATGATCAGTCATTGGAAAATATGGCCTTGGTGATAGAAATGATGCTGAAGATCACATGATAGAATTTTGCAAGACCAATAACTTATTCCTTGCAAATACCTTATTTAAACAAAATAAAATACACGTGGATCTCATCAGATGGACGATGGTGGAAAAACTCCATATAATCAGCCAAAACAAATCTAGGGGCTGACTGTGGAAAAGATCATCAATTACTTTTATGCAAGTTCAGGCTGAAGCTGAAGAAAATTAAAACCAGTCTACAAAAGCCAAAATATGACCTTGAACATATCCCACCTTAATTTAGAGATCATCTCAAGAACAGATTTGATGCATTAGACATTCATGACCTAAGACCAGAAGAGTTGTAGGATGACATCAAGAACATCATACAGGAAGAAAGCA